GCATTGTTTAGGCCTAGTCATAGGTTACTCATTCTCGTCCCTCCTATGTTGTTGCTTTACCATTTGCGTAGTTTTATATCATTTTTGCATACTTTTGATTTAGATGTGTTTACGTTGCATGGCATCATTTAACCTAGCCCTTCCTTTTACTTGTTATTGGTTAGTTACCATAATCGTCGTGTATCGCTAATTTTAGATTCCATTCGTACATATATACAAGTTGTAGTTTAGGACAGAGTTGGATGGAGACAGGAGAAGCTATTTGAACGAAACTCTGTCACTCGTCGTAAGGCTTTAGGTTAGGTTAGGGCCTAGTATGCTTCGTATGTTTTATTTGTATTAAAGTGTCTGAGTTATAAACACAGCTTCTTTTTGGTGTTTAGTCTAGTATATTCTATCCCCACTGAGCCCCCCCCCCCCCCACTTTGAATTTCTTGGCACCGCCCCTGTGGAAGACTAAACGACCTCGTGATTTTTACTTGCGTAAATTTAGATAAGATAGTGTTATGAAAAAATTTAATCTATTGCTGGTTCTCCAGAATACTGAACAGAAAAATTACATCAATCTTCAATTTCTCATCATATTAATCAATCTCTGTTTTACGTTCTACTTCTACACTCAACACTCTACACTCCCAATCTGTTTACTGCGAAAATAATTACTCTAAAGACACTCCCAATTACAAAACATAACAATAAAAGGTATTAATGAGCTAAATATTAGTATTATGTGATTTGCACAATTGCTCTGCCGCCATTATATAGAATCTCAAGATGAAGTGACAAGCCTAACAGATTAGACATCAGTGCTAAAAAATAACAACAAGAATATCACCTATTGTGATGCGCTCGTGGGAATATGATGCTGCGCAGCGCAAAGTTCCCCAACAGATAGTGGAGCAATGGGCAAGTCGTAGAAGGAGAAAAATGAACAACTGATTTTTTGACTACGTATGTTTTGATGCAATAATTAACCTAACAGTCTTTATGCTCGATCTTCCAAATTTACAAAATCTAGAAACTTTATCATACAGCGGAATAATTATTTAAGAGACAATTTACAAAGTTTCGTTAGTAAAAAACTTTAAAGTTTAGGCCCTTATACAAAATTAAAATTGATCTTTGTCAGTCTGAAATTTTGAGCCCTTCACACCCCCAAAAATATCTGCCAATTTACGTCCCTGTTGAATTGCAACTTTCTCTTCACCTTCCTAGAATGCCTTTCTGTTTTCGCTTCTTTCATTTTTCTCCGACTCAATTGCTACAAAGTGCACCTTGTTTTTTATGGTTTTTATATGTGTCAGGTTTCTAATGGCATTTTCCCAGTTGTC